CTACTCAACAGCCCCGCCCCCTCTCGTGGCCCTGACCCCAGTGTCCAGACCATTCCACATTCCCTTGTCTTTTCCTGGCTATAGCTGTCCCTGGCATTCCAGAACCTTCTGGTCCCTGGTTTATCTTTTCAGCCTGGCCCCTCAGCTCCCTGGAAGTCAAGGCCTGGCCTCTCCTGTAAAGGAGTCCCGTCCACATGTTCTCCCGGCCCCCTGAGTTCCGAGCTCAGATTCTCCTGGACTGGTCCTCTCGTCACATCTCAGACTCAGCCTGAGGTGCGGGGACCCCAGCCTCTGCAGCCCTTGGGGAGCCCATCTCTGGAGATGGAACCAGACTTTGGCCTTAGGTCCCGTTTTGCCCCAGAGTTACGATGTTTTCATTTAGAGCCATTGTTGTCAACCCAGGGGACGCTGGGCGATGTTTGGGGACATCTGTGGTTGTCACGACTGCGGGTGCTCCTGGTATGGAGTGAGTGGAGGCCAGGGACGCCGCTCAACTCCCTGTAGTGCCCAGAACGGTCCCACCCCAGAGAACGGTCCGGTCCTAATGTCCACAGTGTCCAGGGGAAGCGCCCTTGGACCAGAGTGGTGGTGTAAACCCAAGGCCCCAGGCTCTGGAGGGGCTGGAGTGGAAGGCCAGGGGCTCCTAATGCAGTGACCGCGTTTTTCCACGCTGGTTGGGATTTTCCCGGGGGAAGGGTCCTGATCTGCACCATCCTGTAGAACCACCTCCATCTTTACTGCCTGGCACAGGAGCCAACAGCCACAGGAGGCTGCTGAGCCCCCGAAACGTGGCCTGTGCAACTAAGGGGCAGAATTTCCAGTGCTGCTTAAGAGCGATAAACCCAAGTAGACACACGTGGCTGCGGCTCTCGTAGCAGTTCCCGTGGGGTTTCCGGGGCAGTCTATATTCCAAAGATCCCACTCCTAGAGCTCGAGATACCCTGTTTCTCCAGGCCCTTCTGAGACCCTGTTCACGCTCCTGGCATCTCCTGCCTGGGCCCCCAGCTTACCTGGCCTCCCTCCAGCACCCCCGGGCAGGTGGGATCCAGTGGCTCCTACACTGTCCCTGGGTGGGTGTGGGCCCCCTTTCTCTCCCCGCACGCCCACCCAGGGAATGCATGTTGGCTGTTGAGTGAGCAGGTGTCCTGCCATTCCGCAGCGGGACGGACCCCCTCTCCAGCCTCCTGGAGTCCCCTCCATTTCCTTGTATGGCCTCCTGTTCTCCGCAGCCTCCTGACGTTCACCCCATTTCCTTCCCCGTTTCTCTCGGCCCCTTTTTGGCGGCGCCTCCCTCCCTTTCCCCTGCAGTCCTTTCTCTCTTTCCTCGCTTCCCGGGGGCCTTTGCCCACAATCCTGGGTTTTCTTCCGAGTCTTCCTTTTCACTGGCCTCTTCTCCCCTGTACCCTCCTCACTGGCCCCCAGCTTTTCTCTCTGCTGGTGAGGAAGCTGGGCCCAGCTTTCCCTGTATCTGGCATTCGCCCAGCTGGTCCGTGGGCTCTAGGGGTGAGTGGAGGAGCCCGTGGGGCAGCCGCCCTGCCTCAGCCTCGTGCTCCTCATCTGTGCCCTGGGAAGCACAGCCCAGCAGGGTAGGCAAGGCCCGGCCAGCACACCTCTCTGTGGCGCTGTGGCCGCCCCTGAGAGACTGGGGGTGGTTTGGATGAGAGCCCTCCTGAGGACAGGCCCTTGAGATGCCCCAGCGTGCTGCGTTTGAGGCCACCCTCCACCACCATCTTCCTGGTGTGCCTTCACCCCTGGGCCCCCCACCGGGAGGAGCTGCAACTCTTACTCGCTGGGGATTCCTTTCCCAGCTTCCTTCCTGCTGCTGTTGAGAGACGCAGGGTGGGGCGGTGCCCTTTGTGTTTGGGTGTGATCCGGGTCTCATTGGCCAGGTGCGCAGCGCCCCTCTCCTGTGAGTGGACTCTGGCCCTGCTGGGTGAAGGCTGTCTCAGCTCTGCTGCCGTTCACAGCAGGTGGGGCTCGTTGAGCTCACGGCCCATGTGAGGTGGGAACCTTAGCACCCCTTGGAGTGCCCAGCTCCCAGGATCCGTCAGGTCCATCAGACTTGCCAGAACTGTTTGATCTGGCAGCCAGCTAACTGCAGCCTGTAGGTCACGTCTGGCGCTCCCCCTATTGTTGTTAATAAAGTTTTATTGGCATGCAGTCATGCCCGTCCATTGGCATCTTGTCTCTGGCTGCTTTCACGCAGAAACAGCTGAGCTCAGTGATTGTGCCAGAGCCCTGTGGCCTGAGAGGGGAGAGGTTGGCCGTCTGGCCCTTGATAGATAGATAGGGGCCCAGGCCACTGTTCAGGTCCAGTCCTGTCACGCGAACTGGTGACCTTTCTCGGGATGTCCGGTGCCCTCCATGGCGTCCACCACAAGTGGCCTCTGCCCATTCAGACGCAGGTCTGAGGGAGTTGCTGCTGGTTTCACCTCCACAGAGGGCCGCGTCCACACTAGGTTGTGGCCACCTGGCCCGACCCTGGCCCTCGAGGGAGGCTGGGGCCACCCAAGGCCATCTCTGCTCCTGGGGAGATGGGCCTTGGTCACAGAGAGCCCTTGCCATTGGGCCCCAAGCGAGCGGAGGCTGGGATCCGGGGGCAGCATGGCCTTGGCTGATGCTGACACGAGGCGGGGCCCAGGTGGGCGGGGTTTCATCCTAAAGGGGAGGCCGTGGCCTTCAGGGAGCTCAGGGTGCTGGCGTCCACCCCCATTCCTTTGACTTGCCGCTGCTCCTTCCCTTCTCCGGCCTCACTCGCTCCCTAAAGCATGTCCTGTGTCCTGCTTGTAGGAGCTCGAGGCCCAGAGAACAGTGGGGTGCCTGCCAGTGGGCCTCATCCCCTGGCCCCAAAGAGGTGGCATTTGAGCCACCCCTGGGAGGCCAGGACACGTGGGGACAGGTGGGGTGCAGGGGAGGGGTGCTCCCAGCACTGCAGGAGCCCCAAGGACTCCCTCAAGGTCTTTGCTGCCACCTCCCTGAGGGGCTTCCCAAGGGAAGAGGAAAGGCCCCCAGCAGGCCTGGTGACATCAGGCTCTGAGAGGGGAACAGAGGTGAGGCTGCCGGGCCTGGGGGCGTGGCCCCCTGTGGCTCCTCTATCCCAGGCCTTGGAGTTGGTTCTCTGTGCCCACCTCCTTGTGCTGCACCCGCGACCCCGCCCATTCCCACCTGGGATCTGTGTCCCTTCCGTGTCACCCCCCACACCCAGCTCAGCCCATCGGACGCCCCGTTGGAGCAGGCTGCTTCCCTCCCGCTGCTTCCCCGACAGCACGTTGCTGGACAGCAGAGCTGGGGACTCATGCACGCCCCGGCCTCAAGCCCAAGGCTCAGCGCAGGCCCCGGGAAGAGGCTGCGTCTGTGGGGAGATGAGAAAATGAGGGTCCCCCAGCATCCACCTTCAGAGTGGGGCTGGCTCCCACGGGGACGCCGGAGTTGGCTCTGGGCATCGGGATTTTGAGTGCTTCCTGCATGGGTGTCACATGGGAGGCCCCGCTGGCCCGCCCCTGGCCCCCCACGTCAGGCCCGCACCCGGCCCACCTGCGTCAGGTCTGCTTCTGTGCTTTCCGTGCTGTCGGGTTGGCCTGTGCGGCGCTGAGACGTTTTAGATCATTGCTTGTCTTTTAACATTTGGGCGAGGTGATATAAGAATCGGGATTTCCGGCTTCCCGTGTGGTCCACTGAGGCCCGTGTCCCAGCTGAACACGGGTGGCCCCTTTAGAGGGGCTGGAGCTCTCCGGGGTCCTTCCAGGGCCACTCAGGTGGCCGTCGCCGGCAGACAGCACGTAGATCGTCGCGGTGCTGAGACTTGCAGGGGTGAAGGGGCAGGAAGTGGGGGGTGCACGTGCAGCTCAGGTGCCCAGAGCAGGGACCCCTGAGCTGTGTCTTGTTGGGTGGAGGATGTTTTGCTGAGAGAGGAGGGAAGAGCAGTCCCAGGAAGCAAACGGCAGCAGCGAAACCAGGAGCCCTGGCGAGTTTCCAGAGCGGCGACCGCGGGGACCACCGCCACAGGAACGAAGAAGCCCGTGAGGGAGTGACAGCCCCAGGCTCTCAGCCACGGCCCGGCCGTCCCGGGAAGCCCCACCTCGCCCCAGGCACACCACAGCCCGAGCTGCTGAGCCTCCTGCCGCCCCAGCCCCTGGACTTCTAGAAAGCTTAAATGTCCAAGGCCTGGTAGGGTAGACCCAGAGCAGGCGAGCCCGAGAGAGGCTCTGTTCCGGTCTCGTGGCTCAGCGCAAGGGTTTAACCCAGGGCCCACGAACGGGCTTCAGGGGAACAGTCCCCAGCCGGGACCCCCTGTAACAGGAGTCGAATCCGGCCCGCCCTGGGCCTATGTAATAGGGTGTTATTGGCACATAGCTCCACCTGTTGTACATGGCCGCACTCACCCTGCCGTTTTAGAGCTGAGTGGTCGAGACACAGACCAGAAATACTCACTCTCTGGTCTGTTGCAGAAGAGGTTTGCCGAGCCCTGGTCTGGGATCCTGCGTGGACTTCGGTATGGGGGCGGGGAAGTGTGGGTTTCTCCCGGGAGAGGAGGCTCTGTTTTCATTACATTCTCAAAGGGGCTGGGCGTGGTGGCTCACGCCTGTCATCCCAGCACTTTGGGAAGCCAAGGCGGGCGAATCACCTGAGGTCAGGAGTTTGAGACCAGCCTGGTCAATGTGGCAAAACCCTGTCTGTACTAAAAATACAAAAATTAGCCTGACATGGTGGCAGGCGCCTGTAATCCCAGCTACTCCGGAGGCTGCGGCGGGAGAGTCCATTGAACCTGGGAGATGGAGGCTGCAGTGAGCCGAGATTGTGCTGCTGCGCTCCAGCCTGGGCGCCAGAGTGAGACCCTGTCTCAAGAACAAAACCAAAAAACAAAGATTCTCAAGAGGTCTGAGAATCCCAGAGTGTCCCAGGGTTAGTGTGGCACTGAGCCCGTGGGCATGGGCCTGGCACACGTTCGCAGCCCCCGTCACCCGGTGTGCGGGGTGCAGGCTGGGGGGACCCTGGGAGCTTCTCGAGTCGGAGGTCCTGGGCTGGGGCTAGGGCTGCTGGGTGGGTCCCTGGCCTGGATCTGTCCCCTTCCGTTGGCCTGGCCACCTGCTGAGGCTCATGACCCCTCCCCTGTCCCCACAGGCACGCGGAACGCGGTGCTGAACACGGAGGCGCGCACGATGGCGGCGGAGGTGCTGAGCCGCCGCTGTGTCCTCATGCGGCTACTGGACTTCTCCTACGAGCAGTACCAGAAGGCCCTGCGGCAGTCGGCGGGCGCCGTGGTCATCATCCTGCCCAGGGCCATGGCCGCCGTGCCCCAGGATGTCGTCCGGGTGAGTGTCTGCCCTGCCCCGTCCGGCTCGGGTCCAGAGCTGGGGCAGGAGTCGGAGGCAACTGTGTGAGCCTAGGCAGGTCGCTTCACCTCTCTAAGCCCTTTGGAAAGTAGGATGGACTGTTCCCCTGCACCGTTGATCTCCCCGGGGGCGATTGTGTCTTCAGAGGATGCTGGGTGATGACCGGAGGTGTTCAGGGAGGGCCGCTCCTGGCGTGGAGTGGGTGGAGGCCAGGGATGCTGCTCAGCACCCTGCAGTGCCCAGGATGGCCCCACCCCGGAGAGGGGTCTGGCCCCAGGGTCCACAGGGCTGCGCGAGAGACCCTGCCTTGAGTGAACAGGAGCTGGTAGAATCCAACAGGTGCCCTGGGTGAAGATGCTTTTGCAGATGAGATGCGGCGGGTGGGATAGGGGGAAGTCCTGGTTTCCTGTGAGTGTCCTATGGTTGACACCGTGCTCTGAGGACCTGCCTGCCCTCCAGGGACAGCCACTGGGCCCCCTGCTACCTTGCCACCCCCACCAGGCCAGCAGCTCCCTAAGTATGCGTCTGCTCCACAGCAATTCATGGAGATCGAGCCCGAGATGCTGGCCATGGAGACCATCGTCCCCGTGTACTTTGCCGTGGAGGACGAGGCCCTGCTGTCCATCTACGAGCAGACCCAGGCCGCCTCCGCCTCCCAGGGCTCCGCCTCTGCTGCTGAAGGTGGGTTCCGGGCTGCAGGGACGGAGGCTGTGGGCGTGGGGAGGCGTCCCCATCCCGAGGGCTGCCGTCACCCTGGGCTGTTTCCACCCTCAGTGTGAGGCATCCCTTCGCCGGGGTTAACAGTGGGGGTTCCTGGGCCCTGCATGGACCTGCTGCATTACCACCTCCGGGCTGGGACCTGGGACTCTGCATTTTTGCAGCCGCCTGTCCCCCACCCAGTTACTGGCTCTGTGCACACGAAAGACCAGAACCACGGACTCAGGGGAAGCCTTTCCCATCCTCAGGGCCTCGGGGTTTATGAAAGACATGGGGGATCTCTTCAGTTCTCTACCTGCCGAGGACATTCTCAGCATCACATCTCGAGTGGGCGGTGTGGGTGTGCCCATGGTGTTCTTACGGAGAAGGGGCACACACCTTTCTTTCCTCCAGCCCTGTGAACGGGGGCCCTGGCAGCGAGCTCAGAGCAGGAGCCCGCAGCGCTGTGGTGGGACCTGTGGTGGGGAAGGATGAGAGTGGCCGCTATGGAGAGTGAGGAGGAAGAGGAACTGGAGGAGGCAGCTGAGGGGCCTGCCCAGGGCAGTTGTCACATACTGGGGTAGCAGGGCTGAGAAGGGAGGCCTCAGAGCCCAGGGTGGCAGAGAACAGGGCACGGCAGGCAGGTGTGTGCTGGCCCAGCCCCAACAAAAGCCGTTTGGTGCTGTGGTTTCAAGTTATAAAAAAGGAGGCCGAGGCAGGTGGATCACCTGAGGTCAGGAGTTCGAAACCAGCCTGGCCAACATGGCGAAACCCTGTCTCTACTAAAAAAATACAGAAAGTTAGCCAGGCGTGGTGGCGGCCACCTGTAATTCCAGCAACTTGGGAGGCTGAGGCAGGAGAATCACTTGAACCTGGAAGGCAGAGGTTGTGGTGAGCTGAGATCACGCCATTGCACTCCAGCAACAAGAGCAAAACTCCATCTCAAAAAAGAAAAAAAAAAAAGAAAGATTTATCCTACACAGCCAGATCAGTGAGATTCTAGATCCAGAGTTGGCTAATGCCGGCCCAGGGGTCACCTGTTTTTGTCGATAAAGTTTTATTGGTCCTGGGCCACGTTCATTTATGCACAGTCCAGGGTGGCATTCCCAGCAGCAGAGCTGAGTTGCTGCAGCTGCAACAGAGACCATCCAGCCAGCAAAGCCGAAGGTGTTATCTGGCCCTTTTCAGAAACCGTTCTCAACCCCTGGTCTAGGTTAAAAGTCTTGACAATGGCCATTATTGTTGTGGCAACAGAAGAGTATAGTTCTGCAAAAACTTAAGTATCCAGTTAGAGAAGAAGGAAAGAGGAATCTTCTTTTTTTTTTTTTTTT